GGCGCCCCCCTTTATCTTGTTTCGCACCCGCCCGGCCCGCCCTAATAGAGTGAGTTCGGTTAGCTGTGGGATGGAGAGGGAGTTGAGTACGAGAAAAGAGGGACTGACTCTGAGTTGAGTCACCATCAGAGTGGCATTAAGTACTATGCGAAGCGAGGGCACATTTCAAGTGGGTCGCCAATCGGGTCTTGTTTTAGTGAGGTGATGGACACCAAACTGTGAGTGTTGTAATGTATTGTCGTGTGGGGAACACGGGGGGGGGTGAAGGAGACCGGTAAGGCAGAAATCAAAGAACGGCGAATCACACACTTGGCACCATCCAAGTTATGAACCCTGGTCCCTGCTGAGCTATACCGGACATTTTCTTTGTCGTATCCAGCATCGTCCCAGCTTCAGCCACTTGCCCTGCTGGGCACATCAGCCGCCGCTGTTGCGCACCAGAGCCACCACTGGCCATTGCGTCTTTCTCAAGGCACCTTCTAATGGAGCCTGCGCTGGCATAAACGTATGCTGGCAATTTGACATGCAGCAGGTGTTTTGAGAGGATGGTGGCGTCAAGACTTTGATTTTCGCCGGATTTGCCAAATCGTCGATGGGCGTGACCACCGAGTGCCGTACACAAGACGAGATACCACAAAATATCAAGCAAGTGGACAACGATGGGCAGGCCATGCTGCGGAGTTTATGGATCGTCTTTATTGCGGTTCATAGCAAGGGCATTTCTGCCTTACCGGTCTCCTGAACCCACCCGGTCATGTACTCCCCCATGACAAATACTTACATCGTCACCGCAAACCAACATAATGTACCCGAGGTCCCCATACTTACAGTTTGCCCTTTGTTTCGCTAATACTTAACGCCACTCAGAGAGTGACTCACCCCATGAGTCAGCTCCCTAATCCCGTACTTCTCTCCCTGCACTCCCGCTCCATCCCACAACCAAAACTGAACACCACTTTCTAGGGCGGCAGGGCCGGGTGCGAAACAAGATAAGGAGGGGGACCGAGGGGGGAGCCTAAATAGCCGGCCCCGCTCGGCCCCGCCAAAGCCCGCCAAACCCGAGGGCGCCAAGGTTGGCGGCACCTCGTATTTTCGTACTTTGACGGACCCACAGTACTAGGGTGGTCAGAAATCCCAAGGGGCGGGGGCTGAGTGATCCCCAGGTTCAAACTGCGGCTTTTGAATCGCCGGCGCAGCCCACCCGTCGTCTCCCTTGGCAGAAACAGGATAGTTAATTTCATTAATTTCATGACCGAGCAGAGGTATTTTTCATCAGAGTGGGTCCTTATGCGCACTGATAGACTCAATACCTCTGGCTTTTGCACAAAAAATAGTTGGTCAAGCGACTGGAAACTATAATATAAGGAAGTACAACGGACATCGGACATCAACATTACTTTGGCTCGTGAGTGATACTCAAAAGCAGTTGGTGTCATGCCGTGCGGCAACAAAACAGGGCAGCACACCGGCCGCGAATAGCGACCGACCACAAAATACAGCCCCAAACTTTTATGCCTCGTCCCTTGTTCAGGCCCAACATACGCTTTCCAATATGTAAGAAAAAATGTATGAAAAACTGCAAGAGAATGTAAGAAAAATGCGAGAAAAATGAAGAAAAATGTAAGCACCGCCCCTGTACCGGGGCATCCGCTCCTGGATGCAAATGCGGACACCTGGTTCCGCTTGCACCCCGCGTACAGGCGTCCCTGGGAACCCAGCCGCGGTATCCCGCTGGCGCCGGTGAAGGATGGAGGACCTCAAAGTCGCGCAGGACGTCCTCAGCGAGGTGCTGAGCGGCCGCATTCCCGAATGGTCCGTCATCACGCTGCTGGCCACCAGGGTGAGTGCCTCCCCCCCCGTTGCCCAGATCTGGTCGCCCAGATCTGCTTTCTGCGCCCCCAACCCCGGCCTTGCCAACAATGAGATTGCAGCACCAGCGGATGCGGTGGTAATGGGAAAGGACATGGTTAGTTGGCGCTCGGCGAACCACGGTCGCCCTCCCCTTTGGACGGTATGGAGCAGCGCCGCTCTCGACGTCGCACTGTGACGGCCACTGCTCGGGGGGCGCTCCCGATCGTCTTGGGGGTGGTGCGCGACACCACTGGCTTGAGCGCTTGTGCCCCTTTCTGTCGATGCGTTGAGCCATGAGACGACAGGCTGGCCCGTGTTCGCTTCGCCGCGTATTTAGCTGGGGAGCAGTTTCTACAAAGTGATGTGCCCTTCTGTTGCAGTTGTAAGCCCTGGCTCTGTGAAGGCCAGCTGCTGCTGCTGCTGGTCAGGTTATCGGTTTCTCAACACGCGCGACCTCTGCTATCCTCACCAGTGTTCGCAGGGAGCAACGACTAGCTGTGTGCACGATTATGTGATTGAAACACACTCCACCAGGTCAGGATCTCTTCTGGGTGGCTCCACATTGTGTGTGAACATCAGCGCAACCAACACATTCTGTCTTTATGTGTTTTCAGATGATTGGATACTGCATAATGGTGGCTGCTGCTGTCACGAAAGTTCCCCAGGTGCGTGCCCATGCGGCAATGTGGGCAAATGGAAAATGGTGCACGTTGCACACTCTGGTTGGCACAAAAATGTGCAGTGTTGGCAAAGAACCATTGGCCACAAATGCCCTAAATTGTAAAGTACACCTGCTTAACCAATTGCCTCATACATTCTCTATTTTGTCCACAGGGAAGGTTGTGCTGCTCTGTTTCTTTTGACCATTCATGCTTCTTGTGTTGTATACTGTCTCTTTCACACATTTTGCGACTTCTGCATTGCCTTTCTCAAAATGGAAGAAACACCTTGGCAGTTTTTGCTTAGAAGTGGGGCTGCCCATGGCTTAACATATTTCTGCCTGCATCCCTGCTTGCTCCAAGTCACCTCCCAACCAGTTTGCAAGGGCTCAGTATGCTGCAATGAAGAAAAGAGTCTGAAGTTGTCTCACAAGAGAAACTGAGCGATCAGTGCACAGTTTGAACAGACATTGTGACAATGTTGCTCACTGACAAAAGGGTATCTGTCCTTCAGATACTGGCTGTTATTAGGAACAAGAGTGCAGAGGGATTGAGTGTGATTTCGTTTGAACTTGAGCTCCTGGGCACGGCATTGCATATGTCATATGGTTACGCGCACAACCTGCCCATCAGTGCTTATGGCGAGGCCATCGTGATGTTCATCCAGAGTGTCGTTCTGAACACGGCGATCTACAACTATGCGAAAACACCGACGATCCGGCCTACAGTTATTTATTTGGCAATGGGCTATGGGCTGGCATTTGTGTTGAGAGGCAAGTTTCCCATCCAGTGCCTGGCTTCTCACAGTGGTGACTGCTGTTTGCACCACATGTACAAGACACTGTCCAGGCTTTCATGCTTGTGGTTGTTTTGTTGGATTTGTATGAACCTTATGGGACATTGGTACTCTGTAACCACGCCATTCTCTGCTCCTACTTTGTGGTAAGGATCATGGTGCACTTTGGGAGTAGTTCACTTGTGGAGATCTTTCACTGCCACAACCATCAAGCAGATCAGTTCACCAGGTGTCATGGAGCCTTGCATTCAGTTCACTGTACTTGAGAATCAGTTCTTCAGGAGCGAAGAATTTGTCAAGCTGGGTCTCCGTAGCATGTCGCAGTTATTGTGTCATGGCAAAGTGGATCCACACAAGTTCACCCAAAACTAATTGTCCTATGTTTTCTGTTATTTGCTGGACATGTGGACTGTGCCATAGGCAGCGTTGAACTTCTGTGGCATTCAGACCATGAGTTGTCGTGATTGGAATTCTTGCCGAGACAGCAACTGCTGCCACAACAAAGCAGCCAACCTTGCAGTGCGGCCACTATGGGTCGGTCTAAGCATTGGAGACAGCATTTTGCCCGTCATTGTATGTATCTGCACCTCTTGAGTAATCTTGCTGGAAACCAAGGTCTCACAAACTGGTAGTGGTTCCCCTTGACAGTATTTCAACATGTTAAGAAATGAGAGTTGGGAAAGGGGTTACTGTATGCCCCCTGTGGCACTGGAGTGGCTGGTGTAGCTGGCAACTGAAAGAACGTGCCACACACTCGTCAGCAGCCTGGCAGACTTTGCACATAGTGCACACAAGCGGGTGGTGTATTGATCAGGGGTCGCAGAAGAATGAACGAGTAAATATTGGATTCTGTTGTCGTGGCCTGCAAAAAAGCATGGGCTTTGTTGATTTCTGTGTTGCTTATGAAATTTGACCACTATCTCTGTTCCATAAGTCTTGTCCGTTACCTAATCTTGTCCTGACTTTGCAAGACCAACCCAATTAGTGTGTCTTTCACCAGATTCGGATTCCTTGGTCGTTTTGGGGGTAATGGGGATGTTGGTTACGTAAGTCATCATCATATAGCAAGACCTGCACCGCCTTATTGAAAGTGTCCCTATACATCTTCGTCAGGGCCTCAATTCCCATTGTTTTGTGCTCACCTTACCCCCATGTGTTTCAGCCTATTTCCCCGAAATTATTCAAGTTCTTTGTTGCAGGCAATTAATGGGCAATGCTACAAACTTTCCAGAATTTGGCATCACTGCAGTCACACCCTGCGGACCATCTCTCTCGCTAAGTGGACTCTTGAAATTGCCAACTCCGACGATTCGCCATGTTGTCACCAAACTATGGTGTTGTCGAGTTAGTGTCAGTATGCACAGCATTCCTAACCTTGTTGCACCGGTTAGGTCTATGCTATCGGACTGATCTAGGTGTCTTTGGTCTTCAGCCACAACACGCGCACAATTCCTGTTGGCATCCAAAATCTGGGGCAAACCTGCATCTTTTGCTCTGTGGATTCAGTTTTGAATTTAGCCAAAGTTTCATTGAATACCAAACCACCAGTCCATTCATATTTCTGAAAGACGACTCAGCTCGATCTCCCTCCTTCAAAGGGCAAGCCTAGCTAGCTCCCCATACCCCGCTCTAGGTCCCGACGAAAGGAGAAGTGGCGCCTGTGCTCCTCTTAGCATATCTCAAGAATGGCATCACCGTTTTCCACGCTTAAGAGCTCTGCAGATAGCTATCAACTGGCGCATTGAAGCTGTTTTGTCGAATTTTTTGACTCGCACGTTTTGACCTCCACTTGCGTGATTTGGATAACGGGCAGGGCTTTTGGACAGAGGTAGCACAAGGATTCTCACGTTTGCAAGGGCTCGCAAGCCAATGGTTGCGTTTTTGCCTCCAACAAATGCGGATGCATTGCTTTGACAGGACAGATTCCCATCGACCAGATCGATCAAACATTCGAATTCAATCAGGTGTTCTTTGCAACGGCACGTGCATCTCAGATCTGGAAAAACTTCAGGCAGGGCCATGCTGGGCAATTGAGTACGATCACGTATGCTCTCTTCACACTGGGCGGTTTCGTGAGGATCCTGACATCCATACGGGAGAATGCTGGCGCCACCATGATCCGAGCTTGCATCATGGGTGAGGGAACAAGACCATCAGAATGAACAACCTGTCCATTCCATCGCACCCTGCACCACAGCAGAAAAAGGGTCAAGTATCTGTTAATTAAAGCCATTCCGCTGTGATGCATCTCCTTGTGAACGGAATTGGATGGAGCGCTTTATTGTGCCAGTGGCAGCACTTCGAATAGATGAGGAAAAATGGTTGCTTTAATGCCGAATGGTGATATTCCCCCTTAAGGCTGGAGCCGCCACTGCAGGCAGTACAGCAGGCAGTACAGCAGGCAGCCCCGAGCCAGGGTTCCTGGCTGTGACGAGCGTATAGCATGGGCATTGTGAATGCTGCATGCAATCTTTGCAGTTGAGACGGAGAGATGCTTTACCCTCTGGCATTGGCTCTGTTGTGGGAGAGTACTCTGAGCAGTGTTGGGGGTGGCTGTGTTCAACAGGCTTTGCTCTCAACGGAGCGCTGCTGGTGCAGATCCTGTACTA